ACAAGGAACAACAGAGACAAAAATGAAGGTTTGATCAAAAAGTAACAAAGTACAAAAAGTTCAAAATTGGAGATAAGTTATTAATGTATAATGCTACCAGAGACAAACATTTCACAGGAAAACTAAAACCGAAATGGAAAGGACCTCTCTACATCCATGATGTCCTGCCCAATGATGTCTTCAAACTTAGAACAATAGAAGGAAAAGTTCTTGCTGCCCCTATCAATCTCTTTTTCTTGAAATCATATTTTGACCGATCAGCATGAGAACCTAGCATACATATACAGGAAGAAGTATCCTTTAGCTACTGAAGAGTTCAGTACCCAGATTACACGACGTGGATGCAGATGTTAAGTAACCCAGTCCTCCACTTGTATCAAACCCAGCACAAGTATCACTGAACCCTTGAACGAAAAAGAAGACCTGAAGAAACTAGAAAAATAAGCAAAAGATGTAGTGTAATGGAAGTGGCCCACAGAGCGCTTCCTGTCCATTACAGCTGGCCCACAAAGTATACTCAGCAACTATTGCATCTCCCACAATGAATCCATAAACTTTGAAGAAGAAAATGCAAGAAAAAACAAAATAAGAAGCAAACCTCTAGTTAAATGAGAAAGAAGAAAAAGACCTGTCAAAGGGAGCAGATGCAGGATTTCCCAGCAAGTGAAAAAGACCTTCCAGGCGAGATACTCTGTTCCTCAAGTTTAAGTTTTCCAGCTCTAACTCCCTATTGAGGTTGTAAAGGAAGTGTACATTCCGAAGTGTCTCCAATTCTCTTCTTAATCTTTTCACTTCTGGTTTCAAAGCCCTGAACCTATTTCCTTAACGAACTTGGCACTTCAAGACCCTGACCCTTTCTTAAAGCAAAACAATTGTCTCCTAGGATAGATCCCTAAGACCAGAGCGAATTAGGTGAGCATTTCTTGACAAACGATTTTCTCTTGACATTTTCTGAAAAATTTTGAGTTAATGATTATTTGCCCAATGATTTTTAAGAAGACCTTAAGTACACAATATAGTGGAATCTCAAAAATACTCACAAAAATCTATAAAAAGGACAGCTGCCCCAAACAATATGCTCCTTTTTCAAATTTGAACATTTCCAACGTGCAACTAATAATTCCCATGGCTGCCTATACTATTTTGGTCGAAGATCTCCTGCATACTACTCCTGAAGATGTAGATGTTGCAGGTATTTAGCCATCATTCAAATATTGTATTGATTCATAGAATTTAATCTCCGAATATATTGCTCTTTCATTTTTGATTCTGGTAATCCAGCAAGTTTTCTGAGTTTTGATATTTTGGCATTATACTCGAGTATTGACATACCTTCTTGCACAATCTAACCAAAGAAAAGCAAATTTTTTTGCGCTTCAACCGTGGGATAAAGATATTCAAGGCAGTATAAAAATTGTCCAAGAGTCATTTCCAGTGCAACAATTGAATTACCTGCACCAGCATTTATATAATTGGCTGGAGATGGAGTTCCTATAGGTGCAGGATGCCCTCCAGCTATACTCCAATTTTCATCCCATGTACCCACTGGAATAATATTAGCACCAATTATTGTATTATCACTTCTAACATTATTTCTTACAACTAATGCTTCTCCAAGAAACTGATTTGCATTAATACCTGTTAAGTCTCTATTATTTAATAATCGAATTGCATTTAAGATATTTATACTAGTACTATCAAGAATATTATCACATTGCCAATTTCTATTTTTGATTTTATTCTCAAACCAGGTTTTTGCTTCACCAATCATATATGATATAGCTAAATTATATGCTTCTGCTTTACCAGCAACTCCTCCTGCACCAACTATAACGTTTATTTGAGATGCAATTACAAATCTGTTGAATTCTAAGATCCAATATAATGGATCTTCTCTAGCTTTTCTAGTAAAAAGAGGTGGTCCATTTCCTATCATATTCGATATTTGTATTTGAGGTGAATTTATAGATAGATTATTCTGTAGTAATAAAATTTGGGCTTGTAAATTCAAAATTAATTGACGTTGTGCAAAGTTTTCTGTCAATAATATAACATTACGTCTTTTTTGTGCTCAGATGGTTAATCACCTATATAATTCACAAGATCTTATAATAGTGCTTTTATTTTTCTACTTCTGATATCTGGCTATAAGTTGGTCATGCCAATATTCTAACATAGCCTCATTAGTATGACATTCTTGTAAATCTCTTTCAGCTTGATATGCTCTATTTTTATAAATAGTATATCGTTGATAAATTCATCGAAAATTATTTAAAGCTTTGCATCTGGCTCCAACATATGTTAAACCTAAAATACGCAAGTGCTCTTTTAACTTGTTATATTCATTTTCCAGTTTTACAAAATTTTCAGATACTTTTACATAATTTATTGACTGGTTTTCAATGTTTTGCTGGGTTTCCAATAATTTCCTTTGAATACCAATTATAGATTCTGTTAATCTATAATTTTCAGTATGATATAAATCTAACTGGTCTTGAATGGTTTGATTTTTTTCTGCCAATTCATTGGAAAAATCCTGTTGATTTCGGATTATATCTACTTGCTCATTTATAGTTTGTTGTTGAACAAATAGATGGGTTTCATTTTCTTCAATAATATCTTCTCTTAGATGACCAATCTTATAGTTATATTTATTTTCAATTTGAGCTATTCTCAATTTAGTTTGTGTTTGAAGATTATCAATTTCATCAGAAAGTAATGGGTCACCATTTTCTCTATAACAATCAGCTAAATATTTGAAATTATCTTGGACCTTAATCAATAATATGGAAATTGTTTCGGAACCACTGGCTATATTACTTGACATTCAAATATTTTGATATAATTGTTGGATTCTATATTGAAGTAAAGATATTTCATTACTCATTTCTAGTAATTGTGACTCAAGAAAAATATTATTTTTATTCTTATACCTAACGTCTTGTAATGTCCATTTGAGGTGTTTCTTAAGATTCGCATTTTCTGATTTAAAAATTTCAATTTCATTATTCCAACCAGTAATCTGTTTTTCAAGAAATAAAATATAATCCTTAGCCTAAGAAAATTTATATTCCAATTTTCGAATTTGTGCTTCAAGAGAGGTCATTGAAATTTATTCTAGTTTATAATATAATAAGTAATATCAATGATGAGTAAATTAAGCAAGCCTATTATTAAAATCGACCCATATGAAAAATTAAACTTAATATGTAAATTGTTTTTTTACCAACCCACTGGTTACCATCCCAATGCTTAAAAATTATATAAAGATCTCAAGAAGAAAAGATATAATTTTCCATATAAAAAAGTTCAGAAATGGTTGCATAACCAGAATGAATGGCAAAAATATGCTCTATCACCAAAAGATATTTCACAAGTTAGTTATGGTAAAATTCAAAAACCAAATTATGTACATCAGTGTGACCTTTTATTTCTTACGCATAATAAATATAAGGGGAAGACATGAAAAGCAGTATTACAGATTATAGATATATCTAGCAGGTTCAAAGCGACTGTTTCTCTAACATCAAAGAAAAGTTCTGAAGTTGCTAAAGCATTTAAGAAGATTTATGATAATCCTAATAACTCTCTTATGTACCCGACACTTCTACAATGTAACGGTGATAAAGAATTCATAGGTGAAACTGCTCGATTAATGAAAGCACATAATGTCTCAATTCAAGTAATTGATGCTTATAGTTATTGTGGATTAGCTCTTGTAGAACGTTTCAATAAAACTTTAGCCGAAATGTTATACAAGATACAATCTGCCATCAAAAATATATCCTCAGATTCTAAATTGATAAGGACATGGGTTAAATATTTATCAAAAGTTCTTGAATATTTAAATAATTATTCAATATGTCTCATTCAAGCTTCAGATTCAAAGAAATGAGAATTAGCACCTATAAAAGCAATCAAGTTAGAACGAGTAGAATCCCGGCCATCCACGAAATATAAATGTCCTGTTGGGAAAAATAAAGAGAATAGGTTAAAGAAAGGAGACTCCATTCGTTATCTGCTTGCTAATGCCGAATGGGAAGGTGGTATTGTGAATGGGAAAGGTATAATGAGGGATGGACGCGTAACACGATTCGCGTGTTACGTGTCTAAAACCCAGATATGTAATGTTGAAAATGGAGTAGTTTAGATGATAGTTTATTAGTAAGCTTAAAAAGTC